TTAGTATATGCATTTAATTAGCAATTTCTTTACTGAAGTAGAGAAAGATAAAGTACCTGTTTTTAGGAAACATTACTGACAAAATTTATTCTAGGCTTCATTCCTATAATAGGAATAATAGGTGTGATGAGGATAATAAGATGATGAGTCTAGTGTTTAAACAGATTTAATGAAATATTTAACATAAGTCTATAGTTAGGGACTTCAAAGATGTCGATATTTAGAAGAGCAGAATCTTGGTTATGAAAAGTATGCTCTTCTTACGATTTTAAAAGATATCTTTAACCAAAGTTTCTAAAATCATTCTTTTTAAACTAGTGTTTCACAAATATTCATAATATTTCACTTTTTCTATATGTGTTAAAATCACATAATATTAGGTATTTGAGGAATTGCCATACTGTCTTCCATGATGGTTAAACTAATTTACACTCCCACTGACCCAGCAATCCCATTACTGGGTATGTACCCAAAACAATATTAATTATCCTGTTACAGAGACACATGCACACGAATTGAAGTTCATTGCAGCACTATTCATAATAGCAAAGACATAGAATCAGTCTAAGTCCGCTTTAATGATACACTGGATAAAGAAAATGTGGTACTTAAACACTATGGAATACTATGAAGCCATGAAAAAGAACAAGATCATGTTCTTTACCAGGACATTGATGGAGCTGGAGGCCATAATCCTTAGCAAATTAATGCAGGTACAGAAAACCAAATACGACATATTCTCATTTATAAGTGGGAGCTAAATGATGAGAACACATGGACACATAGACGGGAACAACACACACTGGGGTCTATTAGAGCATGGATGGTGGGAGGAAGGAGAGGATCAGGAAAATAACTAATGAGTACTAGGCTTAATACCTGAGTAATGAAATAATCTGTACAACAAATCCCCATGACACACGCTGACCTATGTAACAAACCCATACATGTATCCCTGAACTTAAAATAAAACTTTAAAAAATTACATATTTTTACCCAAATTTATATTACTACTGGTAGGATCTAGTTGCTATTGAAATCAATGCCTTATAAGTACCCACTAATCGTGCTGCAAGTTGTACTAAACTATACTTGTGTCTTTGGCTTTAGATTCTTCTAGCAGACACTTCAAATATTTCATTCCTTTAAAGCAAGCTCTTAGTTTTTCTCTAAGCCAAGTAGTAAAAATGAGAAAGCATAGAGAAGCATTCACAGTGTGAAACTATTTTACTTGCCTCTTAACTTCCCTAAGTAATCAAAAACAAAAGCTGGATTAAAAAGGTAGTAATAGTCCTCATAACGTGAGATTAGAAAAACAAAAATCATTAAAATTTTGCCGTAAATACTTGAGAGGGCTTCTAAGAGGAGGCAAAGTTTGTAAAGGAAAGAAGTGCTGAAGTGTGTCAAAACACTCAGTACCATATGTTATACTTAGCCTATATGTTTCTACCTTTTGCTAGGGCACCAGGTGACTCTCCACACATGATACATGTTGAGGTCATTAGAGCAGAAAGAATGCAGAGGGGTATAAAATGATTGGTGCTATTTGTTGCAAAGATAGTTTCTGTACATAACTAGCATAAGCTGTTTGCATATAGAAGGCTATAAAATGAAACAAGTCATTATTAATGTATATCCAAGAAAACATGGATTAACTATAGTTAATAAAAGATTGTTTTCAATATTTTGTTTCAAAATTCTTGTTTTTAAAGTAGCAACTGTAGTCACTCCAATGAACACACACACTCAGAAGCAATTTAAAATAATAGATATAAAAATCATTTTTAAATTGGATTATAGCTTGATTCATAGTTATTGTTTTACATAGTAGTGCATTTCTAGAAATAATGATCATATATCAATAAAACTTATAATTTTGGCATTTTATAAGCATTTCACTCGACATTAAAGCATTCTTGATATAATTTAAGAATAAAATTGTTTAACATTTTTAACTTGTAATATTAAATCTGTGCTAATCTGTGCTTCTTAATAACTATTACAAGACAAGTGAAGATGGGGATGGCAATTATGTAGCTAAAATAAAATGTGCTGCTAAATTTATTTCAGGAAAAGGCCATTTGATTTTGAGATGTAACCAGTGAACATGATTGGCTTGGTGTAGTTTTTCTATACAACATAGTAGTGCAGAGGTGAAACATACAGCATGAAATATGCAGAAAACAGATCTAAGAAATTATCAAATATATAGTTATTTAATAAGTATTACCAAGAAATATATTTAAAGTCATTTTAAAATGTAGCCATAAAATTAAAAAGTAAGTTTTTCTGTGCATGTTAATATTCCTAGTGAATAATAATCTTTATTCTAATTACACATCTTCTAAAAAAAATACATTTTAGAAAGATTGCCCACATAATGTTATGCCAAATCTCAGCATTTATTCTAAGATGATTATATTATCTAATTACCATTGTAATATATAACTATAAAAAGCACAACTAATTCAAATGGCCTAGGACTTAATAACAGATGCGGAAGGTTAGTGAAGAGATTCCAGGGTAACTTAGTAGCAATTGTATTTCTAAATGGCAGAAGAGCCAATGTTCATATGCTGTTTTTAGAACCAGATGTCCCATTATCTCCTCTGTAATTTAATGAGGAACCAGAAGCTGAAATTCAGGAATGTAAATGGGAAATTATTAATAATTCTTACATGATACTCTACATGATGCCACTACTTTTATAATGTTCTCATTTTCTGTTAGTTTGTAACATTAAACAAAGACATAAACACTGTGTCTGCAGATTTCAACTTTTAGTGTTTCGAATTAATTGAATAATTTTTAACTTATTTACGTGTATATATATATCTGTATGAGTGTATGTGTGTGTTTATGTTTCTGTGTGTGTGTGTGTGTGTGGTTTTATATGTGTACACATATGTGATGTGTAACAGAGACATGTCATATGTTTATGACAGAATATATATTAATCTAAAACAGACTGAAAATATTCCCCATTTTTTTTTTTTTTCTTTTTTGAGACGGATTCTCACTGTGATGCCCAGGCTGGAGTTCAGTGGCATGATCTTGGCTCATTGCAACCTCTGCCTCCCGGGTTCAAGAGATTCTCCTGCCTCAGCCTCCTGAGAAGCTGGGACTACAGGCATGTGCCACAATGCCTGGCTTTTTTTTTTTCTATTTTTAGTAGAGACGGGGTTTCACCATGTTGGCCAGGCTTGAACTCCTCACCTCAAGTGATCTTCCCGCCTCTGCCTTCCAAGATGCTGAAATTACAGGTGTGAGCCACCGTGCCTGGCCTTCCCTATGTTCTTATTACTCAGGAAGCATTGAAATAAATGGTAATATGGATAAATCTGATTCAAGGTTAGACTCTCACACAAAGGAATGGACAAGATGTTTGTTACCCATTTCTGTCTGATTTTCTGTCTGTATTTTGGGTGATGTAACAAACCACATAGTGAATTTGGGCCGAGTCTTTCTCTAGTAGAATTTTCCAATTTCAAGAGCATTCCTGTTCACTTTGACAACACAAAACAATGATAACTTAAATAAGTGTGACTTTAGGTTTAGAGATGAGATGCTATATAACAGAATAGGAGTGTGAGTATATTTCTGTTTCATTTTATCAGATAATGAGGTGTCAGCCAGTGGTGATAACACCCCAAATCACTCAACATTTAACGTCTGTGTGTGTCTGCGTTGAGGGGGTGGTGGATTATATGTTTAATCCAGGCCCTTAATCCAAACACATATGTCATGTTTGGCATTGCAATTTGTGATGATACCAAAAACCAAATAACTCTTTACGGGATATTTATGTTCTATAACACTCACTTGATTAGCATCTCCAGGGGAAGACAGGATCAAGAAATAGAGACAATGTGGTAGAATGCCGAGAGGGAGGGAGGGGGCTTTCTCAAGAAGAATGCAGTCGTTGCACGTGATCATATTTATTACAAGTTAGGGCACCACTTTCCTCACTCAACCCCAGGGACAAATATCACAACCTTGACAAGGGGACAAAGGACAATGATTTCACTCCTCTACAGCGACATTTAAGTCAGAAATTGTGGTATTTCTAACGTGGTCAAGACTGTGAGCAAAGTCAAACTACAAGACTCAAATCATAATGTAGAAAACTTCGTGTCTGTGAATGTCAACAGGAAACAAAAGGGCCGTTTGTACACGGATGCAGAATTCATAGACATTATCCTAGTCATCTCTCATGAAAATTGACAATGATACAGTTGATAATTCTCCTAGTTGGTAAGGATTATCTGAAAACCTAAAAGGAAAGCCAGATTCAGATTTCAAATAATGTTGTTCAGCAATAGACAGAAATGTGTACATTGGCAGAAATTATCAGCAGAAATGTGTATACTCATTAGTTAAAATATGATATTCAACTTTAAGAATCATGAAATAACTATTCAATACCAATGAGATCTGGTAAAGACAGCTGATAGAGTTCTACTTAATTGCTGTTTGGTCGGTGGACTTCAGATTTTTACTTCTTCAACTTCCCAAACAAATCTTATGCCTTCAGAGTCAACATGTTTCCCAGCATAAAGATGCCTTTTACCCAGTCTACTGTGCTAGTGTTCTCTGAAGCCAGCCAGCAATGATCTCACCTAACCTACAATATAAATCTATCGGTGAATAAACAGCATCATTTTTATTTCAATGCCAATGACACACTACGTGTCGATTTGGCAGTTAAATAATTTATCTCTCTTTTGGGTGCAATCTTCCAGGCTTATTATAACTCTACTTCTGATATTCATTTCATGCTTAATAGTTCTGTGCCTCATGAGGATGCTTGTCAATCAATTAAATTGAAATGTCATTCTGACCTTTTATTGGAAACAATTTTCTCTTTTTTCATTTCATCACAACCTTTTTTCCCTTTTATTCAAATTAAAAGCCTTAATTACTAGTATTCAGTAGCTTTATACTACTTAACCTTACAAAGCTGCATGTTCATCAACATTACTGACACTTTATCTTCACAGAAGTGATCCAGTTGAGTCTGCCGGAAGATCAGAAACTAAGCATCACTGCAGCAACTGTGGGACAAAGTGCTGTTCTGAGCTGTGCCATTCAAGGAACCCTGAGACCTCCTATTATCTGGAAAAGGAACAATATTATTCTAAATAATTTAGATTTGGAAGACATCAATGTGAGTACATAAATAGAGTTGCTTTATAATGTATATATTTCATATATATGCTAGACTTTGTGATGTCAGGGGAGCTTAATGAAAATTGGATGTAGAGTAAAAGAATTATTGGAACGTTGCTATATCTAATCTACTGACTGAGAGGTTTACTATAGGTCCTTTGGACCTATATGTGTGTTCAAGTACATATGTATGAAATTGTTCACCTTCACAATTTTATAAAAGGAAAAATCAAGATGCCATCAACAGGAAATGTGATTGTATGTATAAGTGTATGTTTGTTTTTATGTAATAGGAATCCACAGCCGTTAGAAATCAGTGAGGGGGATTTATATGTGCTAACATGAAAATATAATATTTATATGTGTTTATATTAAAATATCTTATTATCTTACAGAATGCTTCTATGAACCTAAAAATATATGTTGTTAATCTGTAGAAAATTTCTAAAACAATTTATATGAAATAATTCACGGTGTTGGTTCTAAGGATAAGGATAGGATCAAGATAGAATTAGACTTACTTCTAATAGATACTCTTTTTCACTTTTTGCATTTCTGACATGTGCATATATTAATTTTCAATAAGAAAGGATTTTAAAAACTAATACTTCACGTAGTTACTTACTAATAATGTTCTAATATTTATGAAACACATTCTAGAAATATCACAGATTTGTATGACTGGCATCACGTGGCTTTCACTGAAATAATTACAATAAGTACAAGAATGTAATTCTCTGATTGGTCGATCTGGGGTCATGTGTTCACTAGGCAATAGGAACTATACCAACTCCCATGAAATCATCTGTATTATTATTGAGTAAGTGTTGGATATTTTCTCAATAAATGAGTAGGTCAAGAAAAAAAAAAAAACGCTCAGAAGCCTTTGTACTCTACTACTCTTGGTTAATCATCTCCGAAAATAATGTTTGCAGGTCAAAGGTCTGACTGTCAGAATATCTATAATTATCAATAATAGCTATTTGATGCTCTTATGGTTGAGAAGCAGCCTATAGCTTGTGAAAAATCAAAAGACAATAAAGACACTTTTTGCTTTCAACATGTCATAATGTATTAGAAATGAGAAATATTAATCAAAGCAGAAATATATTTTCCTAGCATGAAAGAACATGTTTTTCTACTCAGGTTCATTTTTAGAAATTCGGAATTTAAACTCAATTCAATAAAGTATAGCTTCAAAAGTGCAACAAAAACAGAAACAAACTCAAGGGCAATTACCTGTTCCTTCCATGCTTCTGTTTAAAGTGAGCATCAAAAAGTGAACATTATCCTACAAGATGAAAAGTAAAAATTGTGTGCTTATGGGGTATCTGTGGAAATGAGGTGGGGCAATCCCTTGCTTTAGTGATTTTGAAGTTTTATGGTCTCTTTCATATTTTTTATCCTCATTCAAGAAAGCCATCACTTGTCCTCTTATTCTTGGCTGCTTCATAAAGAACCCCTAAAACACAGGCCTGAGATGGGAGCCCAAACTCCTATTGGTTACATCTTCCTAATGTTTTTGTTGAATGTCCTAGAATATATCAAAAACACAGAGCCTCTTCAATTTTTATCCTTTCTTATTTTGATGGAGTTTTCTGAGTTTGCATATATGTGGAAACTTTTCTCAAAGACTATCTGGAGAATAATGCTTAATTCTCTAAGATGCCAAGAACATTGAGCACCTTTCTCAGGAGCATTTAAGATACTTTGAGAGAAAAAGGTCTTGACAGAATCATTGTGGATTTGCTTTATGGGTTGTCATTTCTACACTTTATCTTTTCTTTTTTTTACTGCTATCTATACTCTTAAGCTTTCCACTGTTGTTTTTAAGAGGCCTAGGGTATTTGAGGGTGCTGTGATCTGAAAACCACCATTATAAAGTCCTTTAAATTATTTCAAGAATAATTTGAAAGTGTATGCTATGATTGATGTTCTCTAGCCAACTTGCAAAAGTGGACACATTCTTGTACATGGATCTGAGAAATTATTTTGTTTCCGTCCTAATACTTCACTCTGTTTCAGAAATTCAAATTTTTTGGAAAAATGGTCACTAGATAAGTCAGGTCTCTAAAATATACATAAATCTTAGATAAGTTCTCACAAAATACATTTATTGGATAAAGTTATTTTGTATAAACTTTATAGAACAGATACATTTTGAGAATTTTAAAAATGTTTTCAATATTTAGAAAGTTTCAGTTTCATTTTGAGCCATATTTTGTTAAGCTGAACAAACATTCGTAATCTATTGTGTACATAGAACTATCAGCTTCTCAAAATTAAAACAGCAGAGTGCAAAGATATCTTTCAAAGAGGAATATTTATTCAAATTTCCAATATATTCCTGGTGTTTTTGTTTAAGTACTATAGTTTCAAAAGCCAAATTATGAAAATACATTTTGATGCATTTTTCAATATAACTATATAATGTGACAAATGTAAAATATCACTTAAACTTTCATTTGACATTTACGCTTAAAATATGCTAATAAGGACTTTACTATGTAAATAAACAATATGCATATATATTGATTTATTCATTTTTCAGCACTATCTAGTGGATATCTGATGTGTTTTCTTGTTACCCAACACCTTTTGAACAGCCCTTCAATGTTTTGGCAATTCTTACCCCATTATTTTTGCTGGCTAAGTTGGAAACCAAAAATCTTACTTGTTTAGCCCTCCTTGTAGTTAGGGAGCAGATATGTAAATAAGGCTGTAACATGGAAACCAAAGAACAAGATTCCATTTCATGAATAGGAACAGGAGAATGCAGGTGTTCTACAAAATTTATTTTCCCCACCATTCTTCCTGTGACAGAGGACACTATTTTCAAGGGCAACAGTGACAAAAGCTCTGGAGTTTTTCAGTGTTCAGCTACAATGGGGTCTCCAAAAGGCCAATTTCAATATGTGCCTTGGGCATCTTTGCTGGCATTTTAGACCCCAAGCCTGATACTCAGATCTCTTGAATGTTCTACAAGCTTCCTAGTAGTCTTTATTAAATTTCTTGCCTGCTTAAAACTACCTGGAATGGGTTCTGTTGTTTGCCACTAAGAATGTTGTCTAATTAATTTTGGGGCTTAATTACATTAAGAAATATCTATAATTCTATTTGCATAAGATGAGTTTTTCATTGTTCGATATGGATTTCTGTTGTGTTGAAAGACTTTCAAAAAGGTCATATATGAGTCAGTTTATATACCCTGTAAGTACATTATCTATTTTTACAAAAATGAATTTAATTCCCATTAAATTATATAACATTAAATTAATAAGTGCCTTTTATGTCAAAGGAAAGCAATGACAATTTTCAATACCCTTTCTGACTTTTGAATATGTATATTAGATAGGATTAAATGTATAGTCACCTAGACAATACGTAAATACATTCTAATTGCAAACAATTAAAATAATATAGATGTATTTTAAAAACATAACTGCACCTCATTTTTATATCCCCTCATTTTCATATTTGCTATATTTAATTAAAATATATTTTTATTTAATTCTTGAGTGCAGAAGAAATCCCGTGTGTATACATGTACTCCTTTCACAGCTTGCATATATAATTTTATTTCTTTAATAGGATGGGTTAATATTACCTCATTATCTCACTAGCCCTAAGAACAACAACTCTATGAAACAGGGAATCTTATGCTCATTTACATGAGTGAATTTTTGTTTGTTTGTTTGTTTGTCCTATAGATGGTCTGGCTCGCTGTCCAGGCTGGTGTGCAGTGGTAGAATCACAGCTCACTGTAGTCGTGAACTCCCACCTCAACCTCCCAAGTAGCCAGGACTACAGATGTGAGCCACTGCACCTAGCTATTTTATAATTTTTTTGTAGAGATGGAGTTTCTGGGTTGCCCAGGCTGGTCTTAAAATCCTAGCCTCAAGTGATCCTCCTGCTTTGGCCTCTCAAAGCTCTGGGTTTACAGGCATGAGCCACCACAAAAATTGATGATAAAAGAGATACTTAACTGTTTACCCAAGGTCTACTGAAGTAAGTGGTATCAGGTGCTGGGATTTTTACATAGCCCGATTGCCTCAAGAGCAGGAGTTTAACCACTGTGTGCAAGTGAGGTAATCCAGTTTTCTAGTGCTCTTTGGAAAATACATCCCAAATAACTCTAACCCTTATATGTTACAGCTAGATTTGCTATACTGTGCTCTTATGTGTGGGTCTAGTTGATATTCAATTGATGTTTGAAGGTGTTCATTTTGTCTGTTTTATATTTTGCATCAAATGAATAAAAGCATACCGCCAAACTACGGGAGTCATTATGACACTGGTTTGCGACATGGGCTGTGGATTCCAACTGTCTGGATTCCAGTTAATCTTCAGTCACATAGGAATGATGTGATCTCAAGAAAATTACTTAAACTCTCTGTGCCTCAGCACCCTCATCTGTAAAATGAAGATAACAGTAACATTAACTCACATTGAGAAAAAACACTTTAAATCTGTTAACACCGTATGAGGCACATTGCAAGTTTTCTATGAAATGACATCTGCATTTTCTCTTCTCTTTCTTTCCCTTTCTTCCCCTCCCTTCCCCTTTCTTCTCTTCCTCCTTATATATGTTTCAAGGAGTACATATACCCTTAACCTACCTAAAACAATAGGAATTTACTATTAGGTTACATATACTACCAAGAAAGATTGGAAATTCCCAGGAAATGCTGGAAGCACATTTTATTTAGTTATAATAGCCACTGGAAATGGAGACATGGAGGAATTTCTTTCGTTTTTTTTTTTTTGTTGTTTTGTTTTGTTTTTTCAGTTCAAGGAAGGTTTAGGAATCATGCTATCTTTTCTCTTGATTAGCAATCTTTTATTAATCCCTGCTCTAAAAAATCTGCCATTATGTTCACTCAGCTGGATGAATCTGCCTGTATCTGTGTCCTCTGTATGCCCACATTTCTGAAAAAGCTAAATGCCTTATTTTGATTTGGTTCCTGGTTTGTGAGTTCCTTTGGTAAAGGAAACTGA